ACGGAAGGGTAAAGTCTACTCATATCATTGTGGGGCAAAATCATCTATCAGTCCCCTAATCACCTTAAATGTAATAGGGTCAATACAATTTATTTATAAATGATCTACTGGTAGCCTAATAAATCTACTCATAAACGAAAAATAGATTAGGAGGCTTTATCAAGAGTTTTCCTCTTGAGTTTTTATTGATGATATGCAACAGAAGTCTATTTATCTCTGGTTAGATCAGATAGAATGCTTATCTTATCCAATAAAGTTATACTTAAAAAATCAGCGCCACCCTCGTACCAATTGACTCCCACAAAGCATCATTCATTTCGATGTATTTGAGGAAGAACTATCATGAATTTTGATGCAGTGTGTTTGGATTTCTAAATTCTACGTAAGTAGCAGTTTATTATACTAATTATTATTTATATAATAATATATCTGATAAAATATTGTCTAATTTACAGAGTCCAGTTAATGCAAGTTGACTTACTCCTGGCTGACAAACCAGCAAATAATGCATCTATCTGGCGATTGGCTGGTGTCTGCTGGAAAATGAGCCAATCATACCCGGAATATCCTATATTGACCCAGATATTTCCATTTCTGATTGGCTAATTCCTATAATAAGCTTAAAAGGCTAGCCTCACAAATGACTGGATTACATTCTAGCAAATCAGAAGGGCAGGCCATAATCTGTTTAGGCTGCCTCGAAATGAAATCGCAGGTCAGTTTACATTCTTCTCTCCACGATCATGTCTTCCCAGGCCTGTGATGATCAGGAGGTAGCTGATCCAGTGGAGGTCGGGAGTACTGGTTCCGCTAAACGGAAAATTGTCATGCCTGTCGACTCCAGTGAAAATAGTGAAAGAGCCTTCTACTGGTATGTTGATAACATGTTTCGTGACGGAGACGGCTTATTTCTTATTCACGTTGTTGAACCCTCAATGGCCGGAGTTAACTATGGAGCAGCTAGCAAGTCACCGGCACTTAGCGAAGAGATCAGTCGGCACGTCGCTCAGCTGATTGATACAGGCAAGGAATTAGGAAGAAAATATATTGAATTTTGCAGAAATCGACAAGTCCCGGTGAAATTCACTCTTCACATTGGCACTAAACCTGGCCAGCAAATTGTACGGATTGCAGAGGAACTTGGCGCCCATATGGTTATTGTTGGCAATCGAGGCATAGGAACGCTTCGACGCACCTTTCTTGGCAGCGTTAGCGATCACATTCTTCACCATGTCTCTATGCCAGTGATAGTGGTTCCACCTCTGAAGGACGCCAAAAAGAAGTAGACTTTCGATCACCACACATTTCTCGGCTGAGTGACTTAGTTCTACATTCCCGTGTATGCCGACTACATTGAGGAGGCTTCATTCATTCGAAGGATGCTTTCTCGACTATGGTAGGCTGTTCCTTCAGACAATTACTTTCCTTTGATTCTACTGTTTTTATTCGGCGGAATATACATAATTTCATGGCTGAGGCCTAGTTTCAGTCTCAAGTTCATTTATCCAAAGAAATCGCAGATTTAAGATACCTGTTGCATAGCTGATTTCAAACAATTTT